AGGAATGCAGACAGAAGCTGCAAGGCGAGCTGGAGGACGAGTGGCAGGAGGTCATGGGGAGGTTTGAAGGTGAGGAATCCGTTGCTGTCCACCTGCCCTCTGGCCACATCTCTGCCCCCTCCCGCATCCCCCTGCCTCTCCTGTCCCAGCCCTCCTCACAGCCTCTCCCTGACGGCATCATTCCACCTCCCAAACAGATGATGCCTCTCATGGGACACAGGAGCCCGAGTCCTTCTCAGCCTGGTCAGACCGCCTGGCGAGGGAGCACGCCCAGAAGCAGCGGCAGCGGCAGCGGGCGGCTGAAGGACCCTGCCGACCCCCTCGGGCCCAGGGCTATAGTCAAAGCTGGCGACAGCAGGAGGAGGAGCAGCGGAGCGAGCCCGGGCCAAGGAGGAAGAGCTGCGTGCGAGTCGGGCCAGGAGGGCCCAGGAGGCTCAAGGGGACCGAGGGCCAGAGCCAGCCAGGGCTGGGCCCAGGGCAGAGCACCCCAGAGGGGCCGGGAGAGGCAACCTCTGGCGTTTTGGCGATGTGCCCTGGCCCTGCCCTGGGGGAGGGGACCCGGAGGCCATGGCTGCAGCCCTAGTCGCCAGGGGCCCCCCCTCGGAGGAGCGAGGGGCTCTGAAAAGGTACTTGAGGGTCCAGCAGGTCCGCTGGCACCCTGACCGCTTCCTGCAGCGGTTCCGAAGCCAGATTGAGACCTGGGAGCTGGGCCGAGTGATGGGAGCCGTGACGGCCCTTTCTCAGGCCCTGAACCGCCACGCGGAGGCCCTCAAGTGACCCTGGGGGAGCAAGAAACCGCGGGGACGCGTCCTAGGGGTGAGAAGGAAGGCTAAGGTCAGTGGTGGGGGCAGCAAGGCCCAGGCAGATGCTGCAGGGCTGAGGGTGCAGGATGGGAGGGCGGGAGGGCGGGCCGCCTGCCCCCTGCCTGCCATTTCCTAATAAGACCAGGCTCCACATCGCGCTCCTGGTGTCCCCTCTGCCTTTTTCCATCGCTGTGGTGTCTATCACCCATGACATCTCCTTCCCGCCCGCCTGCCGAAAGCCACAGCTCCCACACACCTGCAGCACGCAGACACGCACGTCCGCACCAGCCCGCGCCCTCCGCTGGGGACCAGAAGCCCCCGTGTGCCCACCCTGGAGGCCAGCCCTAAGAAGGCCCACTTTGCCCCCAGTTTCATTTCACTCCCTCCACTGGGGCCTTGTCCACTCTCGGCCTGCGGCTGGAGAGGTCGATGTGAAGAGAGGCAAAAAGGGAACAAGGCCAGTTTCCCTCCCCTGCCCTGCGCCCCACATGGAACCACATCCTCCTCCCCACTCAACCCCCTCCCCCAGCACAGGGCTTTCCCTTTGCTGAGTCACTGAATGAACCAAATGGGGGCAGCTGGGGCTAGGGGACCACGAGGCAGCTGCGGGAGCCAGGGGCCCGAAGCAGAAGGGATGGAGGAAGAGCCCCGTGGGGGAGTGGAATTTCGGTTGCTAAAATCAGGAACAGGAGAAGGAGGCGGAAAGAGCCGAATTATGTAACCTGGGTTGTCTGTTCTTGGGCAACCAGAGATCCACACCCGGGGCCAGCCTCCCGGCCACCAGGCTCCAGGCCGTCTCCGCCTTCCAGCTTCTCAGCCCCGTTCCTCCAGAGCCCGTCCTCATCTCTTCCATCCAGTTCCAGCCTCTGGGCAGACCAGGCTTGGCCTTCCATGTGTGCCCTTTTCCAAGAACGGTAGTCAACATTCTGAGGAGGGGGTAGAAGGCCTGGGTGCCTGTGGAGGAGGGGAGGCACCGTCTCTCCGCACTCCTGCTCCCTGGAGACTAGGATAGGAAGCTGTGAACCGAACCCCGCTGTCCCTGGGACACAGCTGGGAGCTCAGCAAAAACACAGGCACAGGCTTCAGTGTCCGCGCGTCTGTGTGTCTACACTGAGTCTACCCAGAATCAGGTTCTGGGCCCAGGAGAGAGCGTGGAGGGGGGTGCTAGGCAGGAGCAGGTAGAGACTGTCAGAGGAGACAGCCTGGAGTTAGAAGAGGCCAGGGCCAGGCCGGGCCGGCCGGGCAGATGTTCAGGCGGGGGAGGGCTGCTGAGGAAGCCTGTTGAGAGGAAGCTGCTGTGATTCAGAGAAGAGACGGGAGTGTGTGACAACCCAGCGTCGCTTCCTCTCACAGGCCAGAGATTTCGGAAGTGGCATGCAAAGAGGCCAGGTTTGGAGTGGGGGCGTGGGTTAGGGTCCCCGAGCTGGGGGTCGAGAAGCAGGCAACAGAAAAGGTCCGGCGTCCAATCTGCTGCTCTGCCAAGATCTCTCTCCGGCTCTTAAGCACATCGTTTCTCTTCTCCGAGAGCCACGTAAACCAGAGCAGAGTCAGCCCTGTACCTGGGCCCCCAGCCCTCCTCCTCGCAGCGTCCCTCCCCGGTGTCTGGCCCCCAGCTCGGGCTGGGGGATCCCCTGAGATGAGGGCTTTTCACTTTCTCTGACCACACAGTTTCCGCTTCTGTGTCTCTCGTTTCCTAAGCTGATAAAAATACTGAGCCCTAGAGGCCCTGGCTTCCTCTGACCCCCTGGGGCCAGGCACCAGGCATCCTGTCCAGCACCAGGGAGGGTGGCCAGGGATCCCCAGGGGTGACTCAGTGCCTGCCATGAAATGCTGGCGAGCAAAGTGTGCATGTCTGTTCTCCAGAGCAGGAACCAGGAGTCAAGTCAGCTCAAGAGACAAGACTGGGAAAGACTAGTGAGATTAAGAGGGGTTCAAGCAGGTCGGTTACAGGAGGGAAGAGCTCGGAGAGGGGCTGTTCTGTGCAGGTCAGCCAAGCAACATAGAACCCAGGGGTACAGTCAAGACCTGCCTTGGGTGTGCAGCCCGTAGGGGAGGCAGGCTGCATGACCTGGGCAGTTTACTCAGGTCAAGGGGTCCAGCAGGAGAAGGCGGGGCGGGTCTGACTCCCTCTGGGAGCATCAGGAAGCTGTGCTTGGAGAAGGGAGAGCCTTAGCGTTTTCTGCTGAGCGGGTAGGGTTTCAGAGGGCGGAGGTGGATGAGGGGGTCTGCAGGTGAAGCAAGTGAACAGAGGTCAGGAAGTCTGAGCCTGGAATGTTCAGGAAACCATGAGCATCTCTAAGCAATTCAGATGTAGTGGATGGGGTGAAGAAAGGGCCACAGAGGGCCAGCCCACAGCCTCGTAGTAAAGGGAGCTGGATCCCACATGGCCAACTGCAGTTCAAATCCCAGCCCCTATGGCTTGAAAAACATGCTAGGCATGTATGTATGTGTGTGTGCTTGCCCCAAATCCCAGCAGGGTGGAAAAATGGAAAAGAAGGGATTTCAGTGTGATCACACCCCGCTGGGGGTGCTTTCTCCCTCTCCCTTATTCTCTCTGTCCCTGGTGAGAACATACACCCTGTGAAAATTAATAAAAAAAAATTTAAAAAGGCCACAGAATGGCAAGGTCAGGGATTGGGACTTGATGCTGCTGGCGGTGGCACTGGTGACAGCTGTGGCAGGGAGAACAGGAGAGTGCTGCAGGAGTGCAGACAGGAGCAGTAGTTACCATGTTTTGAATACTGTGATTGGTTACCCAGCCCGTCTCCTAACATCAGTAATTGTGTGGTTGGGGCCCAGAAAATGATACCCGAAAGACAAGGGGACCTCAAAAAGTTCTTGGAAAAATGGGATTAAATGATAAGTTACTTTGGTGCAAAAAAAAATTTTTTTAAGAATTATTAAATTTTATTTATTCATTCATTTATTTTAATTTGACCAGATAGAGACACAGAGAAAGTGAGAGAGCAAGCCACCAGGTCTAGGACTCGAACTATGGTCAGCCATGTGGGAGTGTCCAGTGCCTTAACCCACCACGCCACCTGCTGGCCCCGCAAAAAAATGTTTTAATCCATGCATAGTTTTTCTTTTTTTATCTTTTTCTTTTTTTTCTTTTTGGAGAGGATTTTGCTATAGGGTGCAGGCACTCCCCAGACAGAGAGACAGAAAGCAAAAAATCACCCCCCAGGGGGGATGGCCATACCGCAATCCCTTCTCCTCCATTCTCCTCTTGGGATCTTGGGCACGCAAGCACACGCACCCAGAATGAGTTTTAAGCCACCAGGTCTGGGACTCGAACCGCGGTCAACTACATGGGAGTTCAGCGACATAGCCATTACGCTAACAGCTAGTCCCATCCATGCATACTTTTTTTTATAATATCAATTTCCCAGGGCCAACAGGTAGCATGGCAGTCATAATATGACTTTCCCATGAGCTTTTGGAAAACCGTGTATGGTGCTTTGGCATGCTGAGTGCCTTTAAGGAGATCGAAGGGCCTCAGGTCTCTCTCCGACATCCTGTCCGCTTGTCTCCCCCGCCCTCCATCCAAGTGAGTCACAGAAACCACAATTCTTCTTTAAGGCAAGTCATGGAAACTAGAACTCCTCTTCCCTAAAGCCTAGAAATATCACTCTAACCTTCCGCTACCTTTCTGTGTAAGAGAGCAACTTCTCTGGCCTAGCTCATCTGACAGTAGGCCATAGGATGCTCCCAGGAGGGCCCTGCCCTCTACCCAGGAGAGGGACCATTCCACAGACCAAGGAGAATCTAGACCCAAAGGCCTGTGGTTTCCCCCAACCACAGCTATTGCCATTAGATCACACCCCTTTGATCCAATCATATTCATTTTTTAATTTAATTTAATTTACTCACTCATTTATTATTTTAATATGACCAGAGAGACACACACAGAGAGAGAAAGAAAGAGAGAGAGAAAGAAAACCACCAGTTCCGGGACTTGAACTATGACTGGCCACGTGGGAGTGTCCAGCGCCTTAACCACCACGCCACCTGCTGGTCCCCAGTCCAATCATATTTCTACACAGCTGTCCATTCTTCATCAAATTTAAACATAAAAATGGCCAGTTTTTCCGGAGTGCTTTGGGTCTTCATTTCTGTGTCATGTAAAAGTCTGATCAGATAAGTTTGGTATGTTTTTGTCATGGTAACCTGTCTTTTGTTACAGGGGTATTGGCCATGATTCTCCTGAGGGGTGAGGAAATATATCATACCCTTTTATCCCTATACCGCGGCACCTGGCTAAAAAATGGGTGGCAGATCCCCTCTATACACATGAGGAAGCCAAGACCCATAAATGTCCTGTCACCTGCTTCAGGCCACCCAGCTAAAAATTAGTGGAATTAGCATTAAACTCATCCAACTCCAAAACCTGTGTAGCTTCTACTTGAGTTCCAATAACTCCAAACAGCATCGAAGGAGGGAACACATTTTCCAGACTTTGAGAAGCTGACAATGGATTGGATGGTGGGAATAGGAAACAAGGCATTTTAGGGGACTCCAAGTTTGGCAAAGATGATGATGCCCTGAACCAAGAAAGAGGAACATTTCTGAGGGGAAAGGTAAGCAGTTCAACTTCGGACACTCAATCGATAAACTTTAGGGACTAACAGATGGCATAATGGTTATGTTGCTGGACTCCCACGTAGTCAACCATGTTTCGAGTCCTGGACCTGGCAGCTTAAAACTCATGCCAGGGGGACCAGCAGTGGATGTGTGTGTGTGCGTGCCCAAGATCCCGAGAGGAGAATGGAGAAGGGATTGCGGTGTGGCCATCCCCCCTGGGAGGTGACTTTTCGCTTTCTGTCTCTCTGTCTCTGTCTTTCTGGCGAGTGCATGCTCCCTATAGGAAAAATCTCTCAAAAGAAAAAAAAAACTCATGCCAGGTGCATGTGTACATGCCCAAGATCCCCAGAGGAGCAGGGATTGTGGCATGGCCATCCTCCTGTGGGGAAGGGACTTCTCATTTCCTGTCTGTCTCTACCTCTCCAGCAAGCACACGTGCCCTACAGCAAAAATAAATAGAATAAACTTGTATGAAGCACATGTTTGGATCAGGGCATTGCTAGGTCATGAGCATAAATGAAAACGTCACTGCCCTCCTCCACCACGGTGGCAGTGTACCTGTTTGGAGTAAGAA